CAGGCAGTGACCACGGAGCCCAACACCAGGCAGGCAGCTAGGCTGGCGAGGAAGGAGAAGGGCCCTAGCACGTAGACCACAGCCAGGTCCCTCAGGGTTAGTGGCTGCGCGCAGTGGCTGAAGGCGGCGTCTGTGAAGGCGGTCAGGGGGCTGAGCGCCAGGCGCCCCGGGAAAGAGCAGAGCACCGTCTCGGCATCTGTGGACAGAGGAGCAGACGTCAGGCGGCGTCCAGCGGTTTAGGCTGGCGCGCGTCCCCTACAACTCAGCCTGCGCCCCCCACCTGACTCTCCCACTTCACTTCTGTGACTCACCCGTGGGGTGCGGGTGCCGGCGCAGCCAGCCACAGAGGGGACGCAGAGAGCAGCCACAGGCCCAGGGGTTGCCGCGCAGATGGAGAGAGTCGAGGGCTGGCAGGGCGGCCAGCACGCCGGGCCCGAGCGCCACCAGCGCGTTGTCCTGCAGGCTTAGCGCACGCAGCAGCGGAAGTGTGCCCAACGCCGCCGGCTCCAAGCGCGCCAGGCGGTTACCGGCCAGCGACAGGACGCGCAGCGCCCTCAGAGGTGCCAGAGTACCGGGCGCCAGCACCTCCAGGTGGTTGGAGCCGAGGTCGAGCCAGTGGAGCGCGCACAGGCCCCAGAAGGCGCGCGCGTGCACTGTGCGCAGCCCGTTCTCTCGGAGATCCAGGCGCAGCAGCGCGTCGGCACCGGCGAAGGCGCCCGGTGGCAGTGTGCACACGCGGTTGTGGTCCAGCAGAAGCGCGCGCACGCGTCGACTCAGGCCCGCCGGAACGGCGGGCAGTGAACGAGCCGAGCAGTTGGCCAGGCCACCCTGGGCGCACGTACACGCTTCGGGGCAGGCCGGGGCACCGCTGGGCCCCGAGGGGGCGGTCGTAGGGAGTATCTGGGAGCTGGTGGAGGGCAGCGGTGGCAGCAGCAAAAGCAGCCATAAAAGCCACGGCCGCAAGAGAAAGGAGGGTTTCCTCATAGTGGGCGCTGTACTTCCTCCGACCCCGGCGCTCCCTAAACTTTGGTGTGCCCAGTGCTGTCTCCGAGCGCTTGCACAAATATGAACCTTCCAGCTGGAGTGCAGTAGTTCCTGTCCCAGGACTGGCTCCTGCCTGGGGCGGGGGCGGGGCACAGAGCCAGCACTGCTCCTGCCAACTACCTGATCAGAGCTCGGCAATTTCGTGGCCGTGGGCTACAGCGCTGAAGGAGACCACCGCTGGTCCTCAGTGAATGCTGAGAACTAGACCCTAACTTATCCATGCTCACCCAATACTCAGATGTCCCCAGGGTGCCCTGCTCCCCACCTCCTCACCCCAGGCTTGCTCTACTGCCCTGAACAAAGTGGCCACGCCCTTAAAGAATGTCCATGCCTGGCCCAGGCCCCATTCTCCATTCAGTGTCTACCCAAAGAGGCAGGTAGGCTGAGAACTGGGAGGGATATTCCATGCCCAGGACTGACCACAGTGTAGGGACGGGGTGTCCACTGAGGCAGATCAGCGCCTGGGGCCCATCCATGCACAGGGACCTTCCTGAAGCTTCCCAGTGTCATAAGACAGTGTCAATGGAGGCAGGGGTTTCAGCCCCCTCCTGGAGGGCCTGCCACCTGGCCCTATCCTGGGCTGGCTTTCCTAGGATGGGGTGAGATAAGCTGGGCCTGGGGTCCCTGAGACCTTCAAGGGACACAACAGTGAGCTGCAGCCTAAAGAGAGGAAACCTAAGTGAAGCCCCCATGCCCAGTTGAAGACCACAGCTCTCTACCCACCCAGGACACAACAAGGACAGCGCAGAACCACAAAATACTCTTTAATTCCCTTTGAGTCTCACAGCCCTCCCTCTGCTCTGGGGATGGGAGGGGGTGGAGGGGGTGGTGGAGGAGGGGGGGGAATTGGTTTCTCCCGGCCCTGCATGGGGGTGGTCCTGAGGCCCTTGTCCTCCATCAGAGAGGCTTCTGGGTTCTGGTCTACGAGGTGGGACTCCACATGCACCGTGTGCACGTCCACGCGGTCCTCCTGGACCCTGTACTGCCCCACCAACCTGCAGGACATGGGTTGTTAGGCAGCCAGGGGCCCTGTGGACGTACCTCACTGAACCCTGGGGGCTTTGGAGGCCTAGGGTTACTCACCTGCTGTCTACTTCTCCAGGGTAGCTTGAGTCACTGGGGGGGGGGGGGAGGGCAAAGTGAGATATGAGTCCAGACCCCAGGACACACCCCTAGAGGTGCCACTCCCAGGTCCTGGAGACACCTCACCCAGAGGATAGAGATCCCCTCCACAGGCTCAGGCAGTGTAGTGAGGGTGGCCCAGCCCTGCCTGGAGGGCTGCTGGGTGCCAGGGCAGGGCAGAGGGGGACCACACACCACTTAGCCCGCATGACGCCCACCACCACAACGACCAGGGCGCAGAAGCAGCTGGTGCTGATACCAGCCAGCACCACGAGCAGGGCTGTGAGTGACTCCCGGCTGAGGCCCAAGCTGCACTCACAGTACGTTCCGCCTGCAGAGACAAGGCAGGGGCACAGCAGGCTGGTCACTAGCAGCTGGGGAGCCCAGAGTCTGCCACTTACTTCCCTGTGGGTCACTTGAAGGATAGGAGTGCAGCCCAACCCCACCTAAACGAGGGAGAGGCCTGCCCGGGGACAAGGCAGGAGGGGGCACCTTTGACAGGGATGAACAGGAGGGACAGACATATCAGGCTGAGGGGGCTGCCAGCCAGACCCAAGTTGGGCTTCAGAGGAAGGGCCATGTCCAGCCCCCGGCCCACCAGCCACCTCTGCACAGAACTTGTTGGAAGGCGCTGACCTCACAGTGGGCGCTATGAGGCAGAGGGTGGGGGCAGGGCCTGGGGGTGCCACAGAGGGCCTGAAGGCACCCTGGGATGGGGTGGGTAGAGTGGATAGGCTAGTGAGTTGACCGCAGCTAGAGCCCTCTGGGAAAGGGCACCCTGGTTCCTGGAGCGCAGTGGCCCAGCTACCCTAGAAGCCTCCAGCCTCTCTACAGAGGGCCACATGGGGTCCAGGAGGAAGGGCCAGAGGCCAGGCCCCAAACCTCAGCTGTGATAGCAGGGCCTGTTACCTCACTGGAGCAAGAGAGGAAGTCAACCCGAATGGCTGTTGGGAGGAGCTGAATCCCAGGTGGAAGCCTCTGGCAGACCTAGCCCACAGCAGGTGGCTCCAGTGGCAACTGAGGCCCCCACCCACTTAACAAACTCGTCATTAAAAGTTATGAAGAGGCCTTCAGACTTCTGTGTCTGCCCCAAAACCCACCCTGAGGGGCCACCTCACCACTCTTGCAGGACAAGTGACTTTCAGGAACTCAGCCGTGGCCGCCTGGAGCCTGTTGTCACAGCCTGGATGCCAAGCCCTCACCCCCACTCCCTGGGGCCCTGTTCCTGCCAAGTACTCCAGAGGCGGCAGGATGACGTACCCCAGCCTGGCCCCTTGTCCTCACAGCTGCCCGGGGTACCCAAAAATGGACTAAAGAGGACCTGCATACCCCACACATGTGTGAGACCCTGAGGACCACACAGCCTTTGAACTTGATCCCAGATAGATAGCTCTGGACTGGGATGCGTGTTGGAAAAAGCAAAGCTAAAGGAACTTGGGGCAGGTGTGTCCAGGTAGGTGGCTGGCACTGCCACCTTGCCAGACAAGTTGGGCAGGTTTGCATCCTGGTGAGAACTGCAGGTGCCCAGAGGCTGGGCACTGGCCACTTGAAGGCTGAGGTGACCTCAGGTTTGCTGAAAAACTGCTGTGACGGAGTGGTCTTGCTGAGGACTGAATGGAGGGTGGAAGATGTCTGGGGAAGTGGAAGAAGCTTTGAAATGAACTCTTCTGGGCCTTTTAGTTCACAAGGCTCTCTAGAGACTGAGAAGGGTTGGGGGGGGGTCCCTAGACCTGGGCCTGTCTTCAGAGCCTGGGATGCAGGAAGGCAAATGAAGCCCCCCACCCCCACCCCCACCAAGGTGCAGAAATACCCAGTCCTGAGAACAGCACTCCATGGGCAGTGAGGCCCCGATGGCCCAAGAGATCCAGGCCTGTGAAACTCAGGCCATCAGGAGGTGTGCTGTCCTCCGGTGTCCACTCAGCTCTCTGGACGACACAACTCCATTTAAACAACCTGCTGTGGCTGTCCCTGCTCCCTACATGGGCCTTGGATGTTGGATAGGCCCAGACCCTAGCAATGCCAAGTGCTCCTGGTGGGCGCATGAGATCAATCTCCGGACCTTCAGAGAAGTGAGGACAGAGGCCTTGCTGGCAGGCTGGGCAATGGGGAGATGCTTCCAGGTAGCGCCCCCTGGTGCTCTCCTGCCTGAGCTGCAGGCCCCTGGGTCACCCGGTGGGAGTAGGGCGTGAAACCCAGA